GCCAACTAAGTCTAAGCCTACCTGTAAGCCAGTGCCCAAAGCAAAGGTAGACTAATGGCAGAATCTCCCCTATTCCGGGTGGATCGTCAGAATCGTCACCTGTCAAAATATAATCGAACTCCTTTAAACTAAGGAAATTTCGGCAGCGCTTCCCGTAGGAAAAGTATCTTCCCAGAATTTGTATCAGCCTGAATATAAAACCAGAAATAGTCTTTGATTTTTCAAAGTCCAATTTTGTCTAACTCCCTGATGTAGCAAAAATTTGGGCAGCACTCCCTTTAGAAAATGAGACTTTCCATATTTTTACTACGTCGTATATGAACTTTAGACAAACTGAACTTTGAAAAGTTAAAGTTTGACTAACTCCTTGGATTTACAGAAATTTCGGCAGCGCTTCCCATAGAGAAAGTAGCTTACCATATTTTATACAAAGCCAAGTATAACAAAATATCCAAAAAAATGCAAGAATTTACCTAAGTAAAAAAACTCAGCTCAGAAAATGCAGGTATTGAACTAACTCCTATCGCTCTAGCACGAGGCGAGCCTCTAAAGCGACTACTTGTCAACCTGACACTCGAACCAAGTAGTAGCCTCACTCAGTCTCATGCAAGCCAAACCACACAGGTAAGTACTCTCGCCATCCCAGGTCAACCTTTGCAGACAATAGTTCACAGGCTTTCAATTATTTAATCCCTTATACCCTACTTACATAAGGCGTAAAGTCAAGCCACCCAATATTATGGAACATGCCTGACTCAGCCATTGAGTATACAGGAACAGGTTGCACAACTACTTCTCTCTTCCTGTTGGGTATGTGACTAAGTCGTTCATCTTAGAAGCAAGGATTAGTCACTCTGAACTGTTTAATATCCAGATTATATATACCTCTCTGAGTTTAATGTTCAAGCGTTGGGCGTAGGGTTGAGCCGTTCATCTTAGAAACAAGGCCCAGCCTGCCCAAGGTTACCTTTAGTTATACTCTTAGTTATACTCTCTTCATTCCATGATAAGTTATAGTCAGGCCATCCAATCTTATGGAACCCGTGCCCGACTAGCCTGT